CACCATGACGCTCTGTCCAATGAATTCTGAAGCATTGGGCTGAATATGAGCAGATAATACAGCGGGTAAAATAAGGATTGAACACGTCACCACATTATTCCACATTATTACAAATAACTTCATTTCTGGACATTTATGGTTTGATTTCTTTGTATGTATGGATCACTTGGGTTGTTACCGACATCTGGTGAAAATTTCATGTCATTAACACCTCTAGTAATATATTTACTGAGAAAAATGGTGACGTGTTCAATACTTATTTTACCCGCTGTATTCTGTTGTCTCCTATGCGTTAAGGGGGGAAATAGGGAGTAAATGAAAAATAAGCATATTTTTATAGTGTATCCCTTGGTTTGATTTAGTTCTTAATATTCAACTCCTTTTTCTTGTGAATCTTATTTGGTTTTTGACTTACATTTAACCACAGCTGTGAGATTTTCTGAGTTCACCACAGGTGGGGGCTTTGGTCCTCCGGGCCCCAGCTCCAGCTTTGCTTCACACCAGAACTGGGCTCCGTTGTCATWTTTACTGGTCCTGTAGCTCATTGTGAAGTTTTGATCCTCTGGTTTCTTTTCAATACTGGTGGATTGGTTGTGGCTCAGTGGTGTCAGTCCTCTGTAAAAGGTCACAGTAAGATTTCCGAGCGGAGCCGCGTTTAACACCGTGCACTGCAGGGTGTAGTCATTGCTGTTATTCAGCACCTTGTGACCCACAAAGCTGATGGACACACTCTGTGGAGGCTCTGGGCGAGACAAGAACACACAAAAGAAAAAAGTCATAAAGGTAGATGCAAAGCAAAAGCAAGTTTCTGCACAAATGGAGTTTAAAGTGCCTGTGACATCAATTCATTGTGATAAATATGAATGCAKTTTGAAAGATAATATTCATAGCACAGTGCTGAGRTGAGCTGTTGTGATATTTGCATGTCCAGTAACAGGAAGTGATGTCAAAGGGGAATGACGGCACGAAAACAACGTTTTTACAACGGCTAACAGCACAAACTGTAGAGAAGAATCTGATGTTTCTTTAGTTTATTTTGAGTTAATATCAAAGAGAGGTGAAGAAGAATCAGAGTTCAAATAAACAATAAACAAAGACCAGGGAGTTCCCCTTTGATGTCACTTCCTGTTTCACAAAGGAAATTTTCCAGTTTAGCAACAAAATGGGTGAAATCATCTGTATTTTGCCAAGTTTCTTAAATGTAATGATGTTTTCTTTGACTTTTTGTATTTTTTTATTTGATTGGTTTATTCATTTATTTCATTCCTAAAAATAAAACATAAAAAT